CCATAAATCCCTCCCATGAGTCTGTGTGTCTGCACATGTATCCTCGTAGATAGGCAACGACTCCGCAAAAACTTTACCGCGGCAACTGAGATTTTTTGACGCGTCTTTTTTGTGCTGTCCGTGTCATATCAAGGAAGATAGGCGAGTAGTTCTTCCCAGAACTTCTTGTTATCATATAGGTGTACTATCGACGATTATGTTAATGCTTTGAAGCTTGAAGACAGACAGAGGTAAGAAAGGGTAGCAGAAGATGAGGTGTAGAGGAAAGTCATGGGAGAAGTGAGAGACAGTTTATTGCGGGAGGAAGAAAAGAGCATCATTTTGTTAGAAAGTTCCCAGGCTCCGCACATTTGTCCTTCCGAAAAATGCGGATTGAAAGTCAGGAGAGAAGCTTGAGACAGGGGCGACGAATTTTTATTGTCCGGATTAGTTAGTTAGTTAGTTATTGGAGAGGGTGGGTTTCCCCATGCACTGAGACCTGTATTGGTCCATTGTGCGTCCCTCTATGATTTCTACCAGTCTCTATATCCTACCGGTACTGGTGCTTACCATCAGTCCCGCCCAGCCAGCGAGACCGTCTCTACTAGCTGAGAGGTATCTATAATGTTTCCCCCATCTACCAGAGGTATTAGAGACTGCTGTTGGGCGGGAAACGTCCGTAATTTGGCTCAGTGACCTCCTTTGGAGATATGAGGTTCTTTTACGTGCCGTAAAGCTACGACACGGGACCCACGGCTTAAAGTCCCTCCCGGAGGACTTGTTCCCTGATTTTTTCCGCCCTTAAAATTTCGACGACCTCCGCCGGGTATTTGAACCCGCGTACTACGAGTCATGAAGTGGGAACGTTACCTCTAGACTACGGAGGCCGCTTATTGTCCGGATTAATGGCGAATCGTATATTTTTTAAAACAATTTTAGCGACCTTGACAGCCAATGGATTACAGTCTGGCGGGCTTCACGAGAAGCAAGCAGTAGCAGCTTGCAACCTAGATGTAACGAAGCAACGTAAATTTTATATGCGAATTACAGCAATGGGCATTCAGTGTTGCCACCATAATCCTCTCTATTCTGAAATATACTTCGCAGATTGAGGAAACCTATTTCTTACCTCTTAAAATATGTTAGTAGTCAAAAAGATTTTGTAAATATAAAAGAGAAATCCAGCCTGAAGATTAATTTACTCGTACCTGCGAGGCTGGACCACGCTTTGAACAAAACAGTCGTCATATGAAATGCAGGGAAACGTCATTCAGTTTCAGAATAGCTAAAAGTCTTTGTTTCTCTGATCCTGTATATTTTTTATTGTTATTTCATTTCCTTTCTACGCACAAACTATGTTTGGATAAAACGAAATTAATTTTTGTTATAAAATATAAACAGTACATTGTTCAGATGTCTGTAAGAGTTGTATTGTCTCCCGTTTTTAAAACGCAATAGCACCACACATCAGTCTGTGCATATCGACCATAGCATAACCACCTGGTGTTTGGTTTCAAAATACTGGAGAAGTGGGCAGTCTCACTCAGTGGGGCCTTACAGGTCCCAACTAAAGTTCCGATATTGCCCAGTCAAAATACTGGGTAAGAACGCATGGGACCCCAAAGGTGTCTCTGTGATCTGCAGAGGTATGCCGGCGGTAGTTTAACTACCGGTAGGATCACCCATGCCGGGAAGATCAAAGGGTGGAGCCCAGACTAAGAGAGACACACTGGTCCTTCAGGTTTGGGGCTGGGCATGAGGCTAACAACCTCAGCCTATAAAAAGAATTTTGTTCAGAAATCTAACAGCCAGCCTCGGGTCATCATGCGTGGGTCCATTCCCATGGCAGCACGCATTGCTTGTGGAGACTGGTTGTAGAGGAGACCAAGGCTCACCCAGGGCTGTAGCGCCGAGTGGTAGGTAAGAATGCATGGATTTATACCTCTACGCCTCTCCCGGTAATACTTCATGTTTGTTTTATTTAATTATGGCTTATTTCATGACTTTGTTAGTAGATAATAAGGTTACTAATGAGTGATGAATTGGAAAGGATCTGGAAGGAAGCGGTCGTGGTCTATCCGAGATACTATCTCGACGTTTGTCTGGACAGACTGAGGAAGACTAAGAATATCCTTACATCCTGTCGAAACCTAAGCCGCGATTCAAACTGAAACTTCTAGAAAAGAAGTTAGAAGCATTATCGCCTAGCTAAATTGCTTGGTTTTATGTTGAGGTGCTTCATTAAGCCCAGGGAGACCTTTACCTTCACGCAGGACGAAGCATACAGGTTCATGCTTGTACATGCGTGAGAGAGGAGGGGGTGGGGTGGGAGAAGAGCATAAAGAGAATGAAAGAAAAAATTAATGCGTCTATACGGAAAATAAAATGCAAAGGAAAATATAAAAATGGGAGGGGAAAGAGGGTCCCGTAAAATATTTCCTGCTCAATTAAAACATTTTTAATAAAATTTTAAATTTCCTTTTTTTTTTAGAGAGAGAATTTATTAAACGCTAAATAAGTGTTCACTTGTTCAGAAGAAGAGTTGCTTAGGTCAAATAGCAACGCGTACGATTACCATCTGGAAGACCTGCAGTTCGAGTCATGTTCAGGTCACAGGTTGAAGGTCACCATAGGTTCACCGACGTTTCTGCCCCACGGCAGAGCAGGAAGCTATGAAACTAACTGGAAGCAATCAAGTGCGTTTCTTCCCGGCCGTGACGCGGCACCAGCGTACCCCGTTTAAGAACCCAGAGCGCTGCCCCTACACCGAACTGCTCTGGTTACAACCGACTCTCTTATGACGTTTCGGGCGTTACTGTGATCCTGGATAATACTGTGACATATAGACCCATTACCAAGTAACAGTTGTGTAAACAGGAGATAGTCCAACAGCCGTTGCTTGGTAGCGGCTATTGATTAATATGTTCACTCGACACGCTGGATTCTTCACCGGGGAGGCACGTTGTTACATGACTGAGTGACTCGATCGGTCGGTTAAATTACTGCTGGCCTTTGCCAGCACAGTCATTCCTTCAGTCTCCACGAGATAAATGACAAAGATTTTTTATTCTCTCCTAGATATGTACGTGTTTCGAAATGGGGCCTCGTCTTCGACAAGGGAGGGGTCGGTTTTTCTGCGCAGGCGCTACGTTTGTTGCACCGCAGTTTCAGCACGAGTATATCGGCGCTGTGTCAGGGTCAGAGTTAATTCAAGACTGGCGGTTTATCGCCAATCAGTTTGTCTTGGCGGCAAGCTCCTCGAGGCTCACGATCAGAGATTTTTCTTTTGCAACTGAACCCTTGCGGTCATACATGTAGGCCTATATTTGACTTGAGTATCATCCTTTCCGAACGGGTTAACGTAGCGGTGATGCTCTAGAGCGCATTCGGCATATTCTCGCTTCGAATCTCGACCGGAACACGGGCCATCCTCAATGAGGTTCTTCGCGAGTTTCCTCAGTCAGTCCAGGGAAATGCCGATCGCAGCCCACGTAGGCTGTGACGTCCTCCTTTCCGGCCTTCTGCAGTTCATCGCTCGACTGTCCCGGCGCTGACGTCACCAGATAACCAATTTAGAAGAAGGGGTTCTGGAAATAACTAATAACCCATCTTCCTTTGACACGACACGGACCGCATAGAAAACGACGCGTAAAACAAATCGTCTATTGTTGCGTGTGTAGTCGTTGCAGCGGTAACATGTTTAACGAGCCGTTATATAGCAACGATAGGGGGATACAGACAGACAGACTGATGAGATGGATTTATGGAGTACGTCATTGATATGAGCTCAGATGCTATGATATACATACCAAGTTTTATATAGATTGGTTCAAGCATTCAAAAAGTTATAAGGGGGGATCTCATAAGCCTACTTTTATTTTTTTAATAAGGAAATTAGGCTAAAAATGTTTTGACTCATTTGGATGCATGAACTGGGGGATAAATATTAATGTAACCATGGGATTCGAAGTCTGGGCCCTTCACGTAGAGACCTCACAATCTTACACGGCGGTGACTATGCAAGGCTGTCTTCTCGAATATAATTCAGTATGGTCAGGTGAGAGTTAAGTGACGTTTCGGAGTAACATATCCCCTTCATCGAAGCAGCATGAAGCAGGCAACAAGCGCCCGACTACACGGCGTCAGATCCCAGAAGACAGAACACTTCAGTCATATACTCGTTCAGTGACTCGAACTCCCAGACCCCGTCGAGGGCTGCTGTTCTCAAACCGTCTTAGCTTTGAATTCGTGGGGGTGAACCGCTGGGACTACCTTGCAGACACGTACGTCGTAACCCACCCTCTCAAGAACCATCCCCCGCCGTCTCTTCACCCACTTACAAGTAGTATAAGGTGTGGGAATCGGAAAATCATCGAAACGTGCCGCCATTGTTGTGATTTCCAATGGGAATCACCCCCCCCCATGTCTATTACTACGTAGGACCTCAGTGCAGCAACCACATGTTACTGGAATGTATTCACGATGACTCATGTTCCTCAACGCACGGCGCTGTCGCATCTCGCCTAAATCGAGTCCGTTATAACACGGCACGTATAAGGTTAAGTTCCCGGAATTAGAAGCTCAGACCCGCCCACCTGTCATTGCTGTAATTCTATTGATGAATGGAAGAGGATCGGGTAGGAAGCGATCGTGGCCTAATCGGGGTGTTACCCCAGTATTTTCTTGTAGATACTGAAGAAAATCACGAGAAACCTCAGCGGAATAGGCGTTGGATTCTCACAGGCTTCAGCCTTATATGACATCCTGTTCTTATCTTCACATTGTTTTCCTCAGTACCTCCAGAAATCACTTTAAAATGTGATAGGACTGACGGGATGTGGTATCGTGTATCCCTTGTTGGACTGCAGCTCTGGAACACACCAAATTTCGTGGCCAATTTAAGAGTATCTTGGCGTGAAACAATGTGTGTCATGAAATTGATCAAGTTACCCTATTATGTTCATACTAGTACGTAACATCACATCAAATGAAAATAAAATTATTTATTAGGTTCAGTATTTTCAAGAGTTACAAATATGTATCATAATTATTCTCTCTCACAAGAATGTTCATTCCTTTATTATCTCATCCCTTGTCTCATTTACTATATGCAAACAAGTAATGTAACGTCCGCTCCGTGCAAGTTTGCAACGTGTTCGTTTGAACGCCGATAGAGACGCCACTTGACGGCTTGCGTTTACATTCACTTCAGAGTCTGATAACAGATGGCCCAGCCAAAGATTCTTGCCGTTACATTGTCAACAAGCATTAAACTAGCCTTGAGTCAATTTTTATAAGTTTAAACTTCTTTTTTAGGACAAAAATCTGAATAAATTTCTCTCGCCATTGCTCCAAACGGTTTAGGATAATCACAGATATTTGTTTCATCTAAATCAGGCCACCAGAAATTGTTCCATAGGGTGTCCATGTAATTCCTGTGCCTCACTATGAGGTGGACACTGTAGTACTTCCGCCAGTTGTCCCACTTGTCCCATATGTACAATCTCTCACTCAAAGTATGCACACCTAGAAGTGTGTGTACAGTGTGTGCTAATTCTGGTCTGTATATCAAAACTTCTGCCATAGGTTTCTCACCTGCATTGTAATACCAACTGTCGGGGTTATAATCCCTGTAACATTCTAACCAGAGTTTCAGAAACCTTGCATCTTTATGTGCTATTAAAACTTGTGTCCCTAAATAGTCACCGTCAGTTATTCCAATGGTCATTTCATATTTCCTGAACACGTCCAAATTACGTACAACGTACGAATCATTGTCTAGAAATATCCCGCCATATTGCATAAGTATTCGTATCCTTGTTACATCACCAGCATGCCAGAGGTGATAATTTTTACTGAATTTTTGTCCAAATATTTCAGTTGGTAACGTAACATTTGTAACCTTCAAAACGGGACCTAAAGTTCTTTTGATTTTGTCCCAATGTCTTCCAGTGAACTGAACAACGTTTGTATGGAAGAATATTTTTTCTGGTCTGTGATTCCTGAAGGCTGCTAGCACGCACACAGCGTGTACGTAAGGAATGTAACTGGCATTAAGGAACAAGAAATGTATGTGATTTGGGACTATACTGGAACCATTGCTTGTTCCTGTTTCATTGTCAAATCCTTCAAATATATTTCCTTTTATCTTATTGAAGAGGTTAGGATCGTAAGGCCGGAAACGTGTTTGCTGTTTGCTGATATATCTCCTTGTAAGTGTCAAAACGACCAGGATTATGATAATCATACAGAGACAAGCTCGCGGCATCCTTCGCCATTTTATCATTAAAGTTGTCATGATTGATATCTGAAACAAAGTAAATAAAGTTTCAAGACAGCAAATCACAGTGGTTAGTATATGTACCAAAAGTTTTATCACTGTACGTTGAATTTATATGTTATGTACGTTTCTCACAGTAAAGAGCAGTGTCCCTAAAATTCAGTAACCGGTTGGTCGTTGTTATGGAGACGAAGTGTTTACTGTGAGGTACGAACTCAGCTTTTATATATTAGACCACCTGACGTTCATTTCAAATTGAATGGACCGAATATCCCCTTCCTCAATCGTGTAAAATATCTCAGTGTAATCTTAGATAAGAGGATTTCATGGAGTTTGCATGTAGAAATGATTGAAGCCAGGGCCTTCAGAATATTTATCAGAATCTACTCCATATTCAAAAGCGAACGATTAAACGGTAACATTAAATTGGACCTTCCATAAAGCCCTGATTAGATAAGTAATGACTTATGCTTGCCCCACCTGGGAGTTGGCGGCAGGCACCTACCTCTTGAAATCAGAGCGCCCACAAAACAAGGTTCTGCGCACCGTTGCCAGTTTCCAAGGCGCATACTGATCGGCGAGATGCACAGGGTCTCCCAAGTGCCGTGTATTTATGATTGCATAACGAAAATGTTTAGGTTTACGCTCTTACGCCCCGTTGTTGTCAAAACAAAATTATTTTTCCGGATTATATAGTCGACATTGATTCAGGAAATCAATATCCCGCGGCCCGTGTCTCAAGCCACTGCTTTTAACCATCATAACGTCTTCTATTATACTCGTACAAATTGCCCTTACCAGAAGGACAAACGAGCACTGCCTGGGATCCTCTCCCCCCCCCCCCCCCCACACAACCCCCGACACTCTCCCCACACTCCTTCCTCTANAAGCATTTCCACTTTCCCCATGACTTTTCGCTTTGACATACTTTTCTACTATACTTTCTGCCGCTGTCTCTTGATGCTCCAAAAGTTAAAAAGGAAAGCATGGCCCGTCTCTGTGGTCTACTGGTCAGAGTTTCTGGCTACAGATCCAGTGGTCCCGGGTTCGATTCCCGGCGTCACCAATTTTTTCCCCCTGGGAAGTAGTGGGTCTGGAACGGGGTCCACTCAATCTCGTGATGATAATTGAGGAGCTATTTCAAGGAAATAGCGTCTCCGGTCTAGAAAACCGAGATTAACGGCAGTGGGGATTCATTGCGCTGACCACGCGACATCCTCTATCCGCTAAAGTTGGCACTAACTTCGCCGACAAGCGGCGGTCGCTCGGTCGGTATTGTTCGCTTGCGGAATGCAGGCCACGGGTTTTATCCACGTTATGCCTGAGGTTCTGAGCTGTGATTGAGGTGTGAGGTGTGACACCGTGTAGTCTGATAGTGTAATTTCGGAATAAGAATTAGTTTCCTTGCTTCTTGATTAGCTCAGCATTGGATTCTGGAAATGAAGACAGTATTTTCGCCGGAAGAGTCGGTTAACGTTCATCACGTCACATCCAAGAATTTGAGATAGTGCTGTTAAGATATTTGGATCGAGTCTCACCGTATCGAACCCTGGAAGTACAACAATGCCGACATTTATCTGATTCACGTCCCGGTTTGACGACTGCTACTTCGCCATATCTTGGCCATGATAATGCAAGTGCTGATAAGGTTATATGAATGCGCACTTTTCAGGATCTGGATGCCGCGAGAGAAATAATTTTAAACATGTGTCACCGTTACACATTTTCACTGCATGGAGCAATCGATAATCTCTTAGGATGCGTAGAGACGGAGCCCCGTGATTACTGATTAAGTACACGCGGATTAGAACAAAGGAAAGATGACGATTTCTGGATAAATTATCACGCAACCCAGATCTCAACGCGTCAAGGAAGGGCGTAACCTGCATCAGAGTTGAAACAGATAATTTTTATATACTACACGGGTTAAGTCAGTCAGAAGAGTGAGAGGTTGGTGTGAGATGGCCGCCAGCCTGGTAGTCAGTTATGAGACATTAGCCAGCAGGGAAAGACGTAAGCAGAGGACATTGTTAGCAACCGTTACCAAGAAACGGTTATTAAAAACGGGAGCATGAATTAGCGAGGGCGTTATAATTACTTATAGTTAGATCTATAAGTGGTTAATAAAATCCAATTACCAATCCAAACTCCGTCCGTAGTCACTCATACACGTGACAATATTGTCATTCAGAGTCCTGACCACTGGTGATTATTTTGAAACATATACACAAACAAACTCACCCATCCTTTAAATTTATAACCTGAAGATGGAAGCAGCACGTATCGCCGAAACATCCGTGATATTGGCCGTGCGTACAGGATGTAAATATTTAAAGCTGCATTAGGTTCAATAGTTAATCAGAGTGAAAACCTAGAATTAATAATATAATGTATTATGAACATTCAATAGGCCGCGCCATAGCTCAAGCGGTTAGTCGCTGGCTTCCCACCGCGGCGGCCCGGGTTCGATCCCGGGTCTGGTAAGTGGGATTTGTGGTGGACAGAGCGGAGCTGGGGCGGGTTTTCTCCGAGTACTTCGGTTTCCCCTGCCAATCTTCATTCCACCAAATTCTCCATCATCATAGTCACCCGGGGCAGGTACAATAGGCCAATCAGTGGCCGCCGTGCGGAGTGGACCCAGCTGAGCTCCACCCCCCAATAAGGGAATTAATGTACACTGAATGCAGTCTTGTGGGTAGTAACGCCGTGTAGTTGGGCGAGAGCTCGACGTTTCGGAGGAACATATTGCATCCTTCTTCAGCAAGCAGTCACTAAGTAGAAGAATTTGCATTCCGCCTCGTTCTGCTTTATTGTTTGGCTTAATCTCATAACCTGAAGGTGGAAGGAGTATGTTCCTCCGAAACGTCTGTGAACACCTACCGGGACTACACGATGTCATATCCCTTACGATAGTGCTGGAAGGGAACTCCTACTCAGGGTTCTGTAAATCCATTTATATTCACAGCCTGCTCCAAAATTTATATCACTCCCACTGACATTTTAATCGATTTTCAAACTCTGCTACTTACATTACGTCATCATACAGGGTTCCTCGCAATTCAGTTCACGATCGGCTACGAACCTAATCGAGCAGCTACTGAAATGTCGGTCCTAATTCTGCGCTGAACGTGTTTTGTCAGAAATAATCCCTCAAAGTTCCCGGAAAATACCAGTTGTACTTAGTTGTTATTTTGTTAGTAAACAAGCAGGAGTACTAGTTCTTCGCCCGGGACTTGGTATGTGTAATGAGGAGTTTGTATTTGTGTGTAAGTTATGGGCACATTTCCAAACAGTTACACTTATAGAAATACTGGGTTTTGGGACTTTTCACATCGATCGGTATTCTAGAGAATAAACACGACGTTTCGGAAACAGATCCAGTTTCCGAAACGTCGTGTTTTCTGTTCTCTAGAATACCGGACGATGGAGAAAATCCAAAACCCAGTATTCTGTGTGTTTATACAATCGGCAGAACCCTTTAGAATCTAGGTACACTTATTTCAACAAAATTAAAATGTGGGATTTGAGGTTCTCACAGCTCTGCTTATGAGGAATTGTGTATCTCCTGGGATATAACGCGATATAGTCTATTGGAAGTCAGCTGACGTTTCGGAGGAACTTGTTTCTTGGCTTATTTTTCTACCCTGAAGATGGAGGCGATATGTTCTTCCGAAACGTCCGTTGACTTATAACGGACTACACGGCGTTGTATCTCGGAAGAGATCTTACATTGTAATGGAGTGCTTACTTTGCTCGAAATTCGATTACTTCCTATTAATATTATTAACATCAATATTATAAGCTGTAAGCGTATTACTCATCCTAATTATATCTGATCATTACGCGTGGGCAGAGCCGAGTAGATCAGCTGTTAGTACAGAATGGCCCAAAAGTCAGTTAACCTGAACCATTCTCTCGTGTTAAGGGGAACGTTAAGATTTGAACCTGCCAGAGAGTTTGTAGGATGGCATCAGGGCGTTTTGAGTTGCGCCCTGAACACGGAGGATTTCATTCTGAACAACTTTTTTTTTTTTTTTTTTTTAATTTAGTNTAAAGAAATTTCTGTCGTAGCTTGGTATAAATTTTATTAACCAGTTAACTGACTTTTGTGTTGTTCTGTATATAGAATATGGATCAAAACATAACAACAACAAAATTAAAAGCTTGCTATTTTCATCGAAAGAGACGGCCATGACAGCTCCTCTTAAAACCTTTCAAATTAATCTTTTTTCTACTATCATCCTACCATTAGACACTGTGTAGACTGAGCTATTATCATCGTCGTTAAATAAGCCATAAATTCAATAAGAGCACATGAAAAATGAACATACCGCCAGAGTATTGATGGTGATTCTGTGCTTCGATCCTTGGACAGTGTTGATGTTAGTAGTTTCCCCGGTCTTTCGGTGGTACATGCTGCCTCCATCTTCAAGACAGAGATACTTTTATTATGATTATAGGGGTTACATGTTCCAAGGCGTTCGTAATATTTTTTTTCTGAAGATATAGGCAGACATTTCCTTCGTATGTTGAAAAGGATCTACCAGAATACACGGTATCACGTCCCACAAGACAGGAACATTCATATTGATGTCCTTGAGAACCTCAAGTCGCACAATTTCATGCCTTTTTATTCAAATATAAGTTGCAGTTCACTTAACGTTAAGTGTTGCGGTGTTTAGAACAGGTTCCGTTTATGAAACACGAAATAAACATTGAGCAGGAGAGCGAGCTATGCCGTCTGTGACGCGGAAGCTGTTAAGCCCAAGTCATGAAATATTCTGAGCTTTGTAACTCAGAAGAAGGAAGCACTTTAACTGATGCACTTGTATCGAATCACTGAAAATTACGGATAACATTTGAACACATCACTGTTTTGAGGACACGTTGAACTACAAAACTACACTCACTTGATTTTTCAAAACGCTGTAGAATTATTTTTTTTTATTACTAGTCTGGTGGGACTAAGTCCCTTGTACTGCGGCCACTTCTGGCCTATTGTACCAGCCCCAGATGATAGGTGAGGGTGATTGTGCAGCAATTGGTGGAATGAAGATTGGCAGGGGAAACCGAAGTACTCGGAGAAAACCTGCCCCAGCGCCACTTTGTCCACCACAAATCCCACATGACGAGACCCGGGATCGAACCCGGGCCGTCGCGGTGGGAAGCCAGCGACTAACCGCTTGAGCTATGGCGCGGCCTGTAGAATTAGTTAACATATTTTTTGTTGTTGTGCAGTGTGAACGTGGAAGAAAACGAAACTTAGGACGTCCTAGAAGAAGATGGAACAATTTATTCCGAGATGAAATGAGCCTGCGACTTATGATTTGATTAACAAAAATCTGAGTAAATTTCCCTCGCCATTTCCCCAAAAGGTTTCTCATACTGACATATGTTAGTTTCGTCAATACTGGGCCAGAGCATGTAATGCCACCAAGTCTCAGCATGTTTCCTGAGCCTTATCACAAGATGTATGCTGTAATAGAGTCTCCAGTTTCTCCAAGAATCCCAGTTATACAGCCTCACAGTGAGTCCGTGTACACCCAGTAAAGTCTTCACGGTGTGAACAAGTTCTGGTCTGTAAGCCAAAATCTCTCGCATAGGTTTCTCACCTGCATTGTAATACCAGCTGTCGGGGTTATAATCCCTGTAACATTCTAACCAGAGTTTCAGAAACCTAGCATCTTTATGTGCTATTAAAACTTGTGTCCCTAAATAGTCACCATCAGTTATTCCAATTGTCATTTCATATTTCCTGAACACGTCCAAATTACGTACAACGTACGAATCATTGTCTAGAAATATCCCACCATATTGCATCAAAACTCTTATCCTCATGACGTCACCTGCGTGCCAGGGAACCCAATCTTCTCGTAGCTTCTGACCATATATTGTCCTGGGCATCTCAATATGCTTTATTTCCAACACAGGGCCCAATGTGTCCCGTATTTTAACCCAGTGAGGGCCTGTGAATTCTTTGACGTTCGTATGAAAGAAAATTTTCTCTGGTTTTTGATTCTTGAAAGCTGCCAAAACACACACAGCCGTGACGTATGTGATGTAACTGTTTTCGAAAAATATGAAATGTACATAATTTGGAACTATATTACTGCCATCTGGCGTTCCAGTAACGTTGTTGAAACCTTCAAAACTGCTCCCTTCTATTTTTGAAAATAGTTCGGCGTCATACGGAAGAAATTTTTTCTTCGGAGGTGATAGCCCGAGGAGAAGAACTGTGACAGTAAACAGGACACCAACTGTTGCCACAACAGCCACAAGAAATTTCTTTGGCGATAACCGCTTGAGCATTCCACAGTAGTCGGTACGTTATAATATCTGGAGAAAAGAAAGAGAGAAAAGTGAAGACCTAGTCACCGATGCACACTGAAGTTCATGTTTATGAAGTTGTAACTCTTCCTGCTCTATCGATATGTTATCTGTCAGACTTCGTAGTAGTTACTAACAGGAGTAGCATATGGCAGCAGTAACTGTATCTCAATGACTGTCTTAGCTGAAAGAATTGCTTGGTTATCCACTAGACAACAGTGATATTTATCTAGTTCAATATCCTTATACATAATCGTAATCGTAAGTCTGATTATTGTCATTACCGCATTTGCTGGTTAACATAGCAATAAATTGTCGAGAGTTGGCGCGTGAGATATATTGGAGGTCACGAAACACTGATCAGATATTATATTAAAAAGAGAAGAAACAAACCCCGTGACCTTTAGTCCGGAAGCGAACTATACCGACCGAGCGACCGCCGCTTGTCGGCGAAGCTAGTGCTAACTTTTGCGGATAGAGGGTGTGGTGTGCTCAACGCAACGGATCCGCACTGCCATACTCTCTAAGTATTCATACTGTTTTTATGCTGATTTGTAAAGTGTAGTAACAGGTAAAAGAAGATAAAGTTGCCCTGTGCTTAACTAATTAAGCACTACGCCATGAAGGCGTATGGGGGAGGGGTTGTATAGATCCACATTTTCTTGACCTCAGCACTAGCTGGAGGTGAGTGGTCAGCTTCACGCCCCTGTCTCTTTAGCCCCGGGAAAAGATCCTCCGTTATCCATTGTACACGAGGTTGGGGTGAACCGGCCTGGACGACGTGGAGAAGTGAAAATTCTTGACCTTACCGGGACTCGAACTCTGACCCCACGGTCTTCCAGCCCGTAGTCAGCCGTTATACGAACTATGCTACCACTGCTCGTCACGTGAAAGTGTAGTGCACTGTATAAAGGAGACGGTTTACGATTGATCATTTATGAGTGTTATTCGTGGGAGATGGCATTAAACATAAGCCTCGACGTGTCATTCGATAACGCGCAAGGGTGGAAAGAATACGTGAGAAAACGGCAGCTTATGTGACAAATGATGAGACTTCCTGTTCAATTCTCAACGTGCATTAGAGTTCTGTCAGTATAAATTCAGCTGTCTGTCCAGAACTGTCCAAGCGTGTAGCACGCATGCTCAGTGAAATCGCCATTTTAAAATATCCCTCGGGGTCTGTGACGTTTAAGAGTGGATCACGTTGAAATGAATACATTGTGACCAGGTTTGATATTAGTATTTTGATTTATTGCTAGTGGGTTTGGACTAAGTCCCTTGTACTGCGGCCACTTCTGGCCTATTGTACCAGCCCCAGATGATAAGTGAGGGCGATTGTGGAGCAATTGGTGGAATGAAGATTG